AATGAAGGAAAATAGTTAGTTAAACGGTGAGAGCCGAATGTAAACAATGAAGGAAGAATATCGAAATATTAGCAGCTTTATCCTTCACATTCTCCCTTTCTTTCCATCCATTCGATGTTTATTCTTTAATGATAATCTGATAACATTCATTTAATGTATCTCTACCGTTATCAGTCCTACAAATCTCTTCCATCCACTTATCTTAACATGTGTACGTCTCCTTCCTTCCCTTCGTTTCATTTCATTCGGTAATGTGTGATTTTTTTTTTATTATTAAAATTATAATATTTTCATAAATTAGGATAAAATTTAAATTTGTTAAGTTGTGCAATTATGGATGTGAACAATTAATTTCGTTTAATTTTTTTAATTATTTTTAGATTTGAAAGATTACGCTACGATCAAATTTTTAGAATATTTCAATTTTCCACAAATTTTCTTTGTATTGCGTAGCTAAAAAGTAAGCGAAAATTTGCGTATATTAAATTTGCGTCAAATTTATGCAAAACAAAAAGTTATAAGGTAGGGATTTTACTCGTAATTTGCAATAATAAAAATAATCATACTTCTTCCAATTATTATTATCTTAACTGAGGCTATTCCATATTTATCATTTATTGATAATTTGCTAATTGTAATTGATAATGTAACTTTTCTCCTATTTTTCTCCTTCTTTTAATCTGTGCGCTTTTCTTTAAAAAATCTCTTATTCATTAATTTCAGCTTTCTCGCATTTGCTTTTTTCTTAGGAATGAAACTTTTCAATTTATGTCATATATCACTATACTTATGTTTATACATTAAACAAGATCTTTTATTTGAAATATTGTTGTGCAGCAGCTAAATAATAATTTTTAAATTTTAAAACTTTATTTTTTCCCAGTCATATAACAGAAAATGGGAAATACACTAAACTTTATAATAGTGACTAAATTTGAAGTCACAACTTTTGTTGATAAAATTTGAAACAGCATATTCCATTTGATATTTTATTCAAGCTAAATGAATTTCTAAATTATAATTGATAGGAAACTCAAAAATCTTGCAACAAATGCAACTTTTTCCTTTTTGCACCTTTATTCTAACAATTCTGCCAAAGTACGTCCACTTGTGAGCAAAGATTGCAATGCTACGAATGAGTATAAAATGGGGATAAGAAAATTTCAGCAGAGCAAAGGTTCATTTTAAGGACAGTGAAAGGTTTAAACATCGGATAATTCATCAAAATCTTCACCAATCGGTTTAATATATTTTACAGTAAAGCAGACGTTGACATTCCAAATTCTGTGAGCGACGAAGCAGAGACAATATCACTGATATCAGTTAATGTCATCTGCAATACTTCAGAATATATGGAGAGTTACAGACGGGCAGTACACTGATAACAATTACCACATCTTTAAGTGTATCAAACCTATTGAACTTTTGTTTTAATTCTCGCCATACAAGAATAATTTACAATGAGATTACCAGTCGTATAACAATAATTGTAATAACAGCAATAATAATGCTAATTAATAGTTATTAATCAATAATAATAGTCTTATTGTCACAATAAATTATAGTAATGCATTAATATCTACATTCGTCCTGCATTTCGTTTAGATAAATTTTTTGACAAGCAAAAAAAAGATTCCTACCTAAAAATATTTATCAACTTTTAGTACTGATCAGTTTGTTTGTAAATTAGCAAAATTTTTTATCAAGCACATGCTAGGTTTAAAGAGTTAATCATTTATTAATTCAAAATACTGACTATACCAAAAATTTGAAGAACTCCACTTTCCATGATATCACAAAATGATATGAAAACATTATTAATTTTAAAAAAAAGTTAAAAGTGAGATTGCTATTCAACAGATGTTAAGAATAGGGATAAATAGCTTACTACTTCTGAAATCCCGAAGAGATACATATTTCTTGAAAAAAAAAAATCTTGATATTAGCTGTGATAAAATAAATCCATCAAATATAATAAAGTATAAAATGGAAGATAAAAATGAGCGGCATATAATATCTTATATAATTGAACGAATTCGAAATTATAAACAGATGATATAAATATTAAGAATAACCTAAAGACAAAGAGTCACCTAATAAAGAAATAAGAACTGTATAAATCTGATTAGCGTCCGCTAAGTAAGGACAACAATGCAATTCAATAATATGATACTTTTTATAGCAAAAAAAAAAAGTTGACTCCTGCCATATCATGGATAATTCTCTGTGATGCTATACGAGTCAAAGTTTTCAGATTTTGTTCCTGTAACAGATTCACCAATGGTTAAATATCCATTGTCAAAATTTTTTGCAAACAATCTACTAAAAAATAATAATTGGTTTGATAGAAAAAATAAAAAGACAAAAACAAAAATGTAATACAATATTTATAACAGTAATTAAAGCCAATTATTTTACACTCCTTCTCCTGCCTATATCTCTCTTCACGAAAATTTAGAGCCCATTTATTCTTATTTTTTAACAAATTTTGTTTGGCTAATTGACTAGATTTCAATTACCAGACATAGGGCAAAGAAAATTTGTTTTCGTCGCGATCGGCGAGAATGATGTGTCGCTTTATTTCTACAAAAAAAAAAAGAAATTGAAAACTTTGGAAGAAGATAACATATTCAAGAGTGTTAAATAACAAAAATATCAAGCCAACAAATTTATTATTCTCCAAATATGTATTATTTTTTGTTATCTGCACCGTTTTCACCTATCATCCTTAACCTAAAATAATTAAGGCAACATATCTGTCTAGCAAAATATCTTCATCCTACCGATAAGATCTGCAGTAAGTTTATCGTTCTTTAAATATCTTTCGCGTAATTGAAAATCCTGTGGATAATTTATAGCAGAAGAATAGTTTGAATATCAGGAATTTTCACGTTCATAATGTACTTGACAGTAGTTTTTTTCATAAGAAAAGCGCTCAATATAAAAAGCATTATTTTAACATCATTAATGAAGTTGAAGTTCATACAAAAAATCAACTACCATAGGGACGGTCATTGAACGAGTGGATGAGTTAACTAAAAGCCAAAGTATGAATATTAGCGAAAATTATAAAGAAATTTAGTGTTCTATAAACTCACCAGCATCAATTTTCGTCTTCAGCATTTTTGGCATACGTCATCCTCCTTTTCGGCTTGGCTTTAATGCTGAGTGTGATGTAACGATAGAGCTCTGTGCAATCCACATGCGCAGTTGTCGTATTCCGTAATCATTTGATGTTGAACATAGAAAGAGTCATTCCCGGTTCCAAAATGTAGATTAATTCGCTAGCAATTCTGAATGTATTCTTACATTACATAGTAGATAAAAAAGATTTCTCAAAACCGACTTTAGTTCCAAACTATACTAGAAAATGAATATGGAGAAAACTATATTTTCAATTTGAGGAAATTCTGCTGAATGTACAATAGAAATGAGTGCCATCAGTTACTTTACTATAAAGAGTAAAACAAAAAATAAATGCTCCTTTCCTGAGAATCAAGCGAAATGTAGAAAAAAGTTCAAAGACAGAAGTACTTCTAATTCAAATTAAGTTTTCAGAATTAAATTTCTTCTTACATAAATTTAGGCAATAGCACATGAAAACTGCACAATTTCTCTAATTTTATGGTTGAGAATAGCAAGCTCGCATAACCAGTATATCTTTCAATTAGTATTTCATGAATGTACTATTAGCCAAATATTCGAACTGCTTCTTTTGTTCCTTTTTTAATATTCATGATTTTGCAACAAAAACAAGCTATTTGTGCTATATTTTCAAATCACAGACTAATTCACTGAATTATGACAAATAGAAATAAGCTGTATCATATATTCCGAATCGTAATCCAAATGAGAAGCAATAACTTGAAACCTGATTAAATAATAGATCATATACCAATTGTAAAAAAATATAATTATATATTTATCAACAAGTTAAAATCACCTCTCGAAGTTACTCTGTTTGGAATTTAGATGGGATGAAAATGAGTCCTTGATAATTAATGACCTTTATGTTTTTCCAACACTTTCCGAAATGACTTGATTTTCTTTTCACCTTTTTTACAATCTTCTTTTCAAGCACAATCAAATTGCGAAAATCAATTATTAACAATGATACCGCCGAGGTCTCGTGGGAACCTTGAAAATGTTATAGTTGTTCAACAATTTTTTCCAAAGAAAGACTATTATCCTATCCCATTGATTCCACTATTTTCAGAAATTTCGTTGTTTACATTAAAACTAAAAAATTCGCAATATACAAATTATCAGAAACTTTTGTTTGAGTCAAAAATTAATGATAAATTGAAATATTAAATCAAATTGAACTATCACTTGCTAAAATCTCCCGATCCCTGTGGAAAGTAAATACGATAATACAGTAAATACAACTGCGAAGTAGCAAATACAATAAATGTCAGATCTACTTTGTGCGCCGCTTATGCAAGACGTGATACCACATCGAAGAGAAGATTCTAAAAATTACGAAGCTACAGATATTTTATAAGGATAATTAAATCTGAATAAAATATTTTAGTCACATAATATCTACAAAAGTAACAAAATGAAACGATCTGAAAAAAACACTCAAAATCACTGATAATGAAAAAAAAAACACCTAGACGCTACTTTCCTCAGTTCTTAACTTGAATTATCAAGCTGTAATTCCCAGTTCCTGATTATCTCTTACGCTTTGTCTGTCTTTCCATTTCTTTATAACGAAATATCTTTTGCGTGATGTATAAAGTCTTGAAATTCTAAGTGATACGAAAGGTTATTTTATTAACTCAGAATAAACAATATATCATTTTTTCCAATTCCAAGTCTGAGGTAATTATCAAATCATTCTATCCAGATGAAATGTCAAGCTTTTCTTTAAAACCTCGACAGAATGATGGATTACCTGTTAATTCAAAACAGTTTAAATTAAAGAATTTCTATGCATTGAAATCATTTTTTTTTAACCATTTTAGTTAAACCCAACAAATAATCAAAAAAGTACTTCATATGCTTTGAATTTCTTTTGGAGTTAGGAAAACGCGATGCTTGCCATACCGAAATGAGACTACTCCATGGTAGCAAGTACGACATATACCTGACTAAAATTTATTACATTTCAACTAATCAGAAGTTCAAGCAAAAAAGAAACTGAAGGAATGATTTCTTCGTCACGTATAACCATTGATAAATTTTTGGATTTATCTATATATATAAAATCCAGTCAAAGCAAAAATAATATTTTATAATTTACTTCATTCTCGCTACTTGTTTAAAATACAAGTTTTCTTAAACATACCCGGAAATCATCCATTACACTAAATTTTCTGGCAAATGCCTTAAAATCAGCTGAAGCCACATAAAACAAGCGTACTTTTTCCGGCAAAACAGTACCATTTGAAAATCGTCCTTTCAGAATTTCATCCAAAGTAGCAGGAACCGCTCTGTAATTAAAAGTGCAAGAAAGTTTAACTATTGCGTAATACGCCTAAATAATATAATAATTACAAATCTCATAATCTATGCACGATCATTTTACTTATCATTTTCTCAACTCTCCATTTCAATCTTTGTTCTTTCAATGACCGGATTTCATTTTATCAACAAATAAAACGAATGAAGAAGAATTGAATTTCTCATCAATACCATGGAATTTTTTATACACGATCCTACTAGCGATTAAGCGATTAAGCGGCACTTCATTCGCCATTCCTACTCAAAATGTCAAATTTTCACTTACCCAATAACACTTTTACGGAAGGCTGGATCATAATTTTCTTTTTTTAAATAAGACAAATCAGACTGAGAGAAATGAAAAAAATCCGTATTAATCAAGATATGTTTTAAGTGTTTCTCGTAATAGAGGCCTCTGAAAATTGTTGGAAAATATCATTCATTGAAATCAATTGAATATACACTAAACGCCAGTAGTATACGAGCAAGAATTACTTTCAGGAATTACTTTATTCCTCTCTTATCATGAACAATGTTTAACTAAATAATTTTTGGCATGCTGAAAATCTAAATTATTCTCCTCTTACCATCAACATTATGAAATTTTATTCATGATACGTTACTAATTGCAAAGTCTAAACTATAAAATATGAAATTACTGATCATAATACGAAAGAATCATATGTTTTCCCTCTTAACTTCATGTCCCCATTCATATTAATAATTTCAACTTCTATCGCAAATAACTTCGAGGAAGTTTTCTAGACAACCGCTCTTACTGCTGCAGCTAATCTATTTTGATGATAATTTCTTGCAATTATGTCACAATTAAGATTTTCTGGGAATACTTAGAAAAAAGGTCAAACGTTCCACTTCTTCAACGAAGCTAAACAATACAAAAATTAGACAATTTCAAAACACCTACATATAAAAGAAAGGATGAGAAAGCACATACTTACTGACACCTTTTTTGCCTCTTAAACTGATACCCGTACGTGATATTTCAGGTCTAATACATGCTCGTCCTTGACGTTGGGCTGGGTCACGCATCCAATCATCCCAAAATGTTTCGGGCCACTTTACTTTTAGTTCTTCCCATAATTGTGATGTAAGCATCCAACCAAGACCTGAAAAAGATTCTCTGATTTGAAAAAAAAAAGTCAAAAACAGCCATTAAACAATGACAATGTTAGATTTGAATAATTCGTTTCGCTAAAAAACATAATGAATTACTTCCACATCTCGGACGACAATTGAGATAATACCAACCAAAGATCGTAAAGGATTTGTGCCTGAATACCAAGAGAGCAATGATAACCTTTTATGAACATAGCAAATGACCTGGGAAGAAATCGGTTCGATGCAGCAAAGAGTTATCCTTCACAATGAGTTCTTTTTTTCCGTTATCGTTCCACGCTGATATACACCAAATTGTCGGGTCTTCGAATAACAACTTTCTATTTGCCAACATATATTCCAGAAAATCCGGAGCCAGTAATAAATCATCTAAAAGTTATGAGGAATAAATAAGAAGGTACCAAATAACTAATGGTAATTGAAAAATTAATCAAACAGGTGCAAATTTTGAGCAAAATTTTTGAGTATTGGAATGATTATTTCTAAGCACAGTTCGATTATACTTCGCCCAACAAACCTTTAGGGCCTCAACAAAGAGTAACATGCTAGACAAGCTGTCTCTTGTCTTTTCTTACCATATGAGAGAGAGAATATCCTTACCACTAAGTCAGCTTCCAAGTAAACTTCACAGCTATTCCTTGAAACTTTATTGACTTATCCATGCATCTTGTTTTAATCACAAACTTGCATTACCAAAAAAGTATCAATTCCCAATAATTTTTTTTTTCAACCAGTAACTATAGAATGCAACCTTCGGTAATAATAGCACTTTGATATCTTAAAATGCTGAAGACATAATCCAGGGCGAAATGATAGTGTCTCGCAATTCGATAATAACCTTCATACTTTTTTTTCTGTTTGGTTAGATTGAATGAAGATTGATTAGGATTTTCTATTAAAGTAACATTATGACCAGCACTGAGGATAAGATCACGTACTGCATCATCATTGCAATCAAGACTAACAACAATCGGAACTTTGGGTCCTTGTAAACTGAAAATATCGGAAATAATTTTTATCGATATGATATCAGTGATTAACTTTCACGTACTCCTGATTGTAAAGAACTGTAGAAATCATTAGAGGCCTATAAAATGTTTCCTTTCAGCAACTACTTGTAATACCATGTGTAACAAATAAATAATGATTTCAAGTACAATATACATCAATAACGCAGCATTATTTTAAAAAACATATACTTCGTCATTATATGCTGAGGAACTACTTAATTTTGGATTGAAATCTGAACCAGTACAAAAATATAGTAAATTTTAAGGCTCTCTTCGTACAACTTAAAAAGTTTGAAATGTATATAATAGGCGTTATTATATACTTTAACCTTTCCGTCTTTTTTCATTTTTTCCGTTACATCTATAAGATCGAATCTTCCTATCAAAAAATGATTCATATAATCCTTGTAAACGTTACATGTTCTCGGAAATTCGAAATGAAAGAGATTATATCTACATAGTTCCCAGTGCCTTTACAAATATCAACGTGTTTTCAAATTTCTAAGTCAACAAACTTTTTTAGTGATTCCAGATGTTCCTTCAATGCTTCAAAACGATTACAGGCAATTACCAAAATAACTGTTTCTAAAAGATCTCCTTCATTTAAAGCATTTCGTACTTGTCGCAAATCGTTTGCTAAACGACGTACCAAACTCCGAACTCGTAAATTTAATAGTTGACGACGGTATTCTAAGTCGTCGTCCAGCTTATACCTCTAAAAGTTAAACTTCTATGATAGGAAAAGGAAGGGAATACAGAAATCCGAAAGGAAAAAAGAAACTATTATATACATGTCCAAGTGGTTTCAGCTCTTAGAAGAAAACACGGCATAATTTTAAAACGAATAGAAAATTGTCATTGGAGACTAGTTTGACGAGCTCAGTGCGACTGAGAAATTTTTACAATTTTGCTTAATTTTGAAGCCCCGCTTATTTTAATTTCACAGTGAAATGAAACAAGTTAATGAGAAACATTTTTCTTTAGCGTTGCACTAACTTTATTTATATCTGCTCTCGTACGAATCAAAAAATAAGATGAGCTGTTACAAAGCATATTAGGCGGCCTAATTCAAATCAATGAATGTTAGCTTAAAATAAAATTGGAAGTCAAAAAAGCAATGCGTTACCGCATTATATATTGCGATGTTGAAGATAAACTTGGAAATAACCAGTGCTCCAATAACAATAATAGCGTAAAAAATGAAGGAACGATTCTTGCGCATTCTGATCCAACAATAACGTCATCTTTCCTGCCAGCTTTAAAGCATAAATATGTCTAAAAATATAAGAAATAATATAATACTAAGTACTGAAAATTTTGAAGTTACGAAAAGTGGCAACATAAAACAAACTTGAATAAAGTAACTGTTCCCTTTTAAATATCATTTTCTTTACTAAATCTCTAGCTATAATGAATAAATTTTTACATACCACTGCTCTGTTCATTTTTTCGTCTTCCATTATAGCAGTCAAGTTTATCATTATTACCTATCATTTTCAAGCTATCAATTGAATCACAGTACACGTTAGTCTAATTCCAAAACGTTTCAATGTTAAATGACAGCTTTCACTGTTTAAATGTTAAGTGATAACCTTGGAGATAATATATTAACTGAAAAAACAAAGTGAATATTATGGACGCATCAGTATGAATATGTGGCATGAACGCTAAACGTAAATATGTACATATACAGTAATATATTGAAAACACGAATAATGTAATAAAAGTTTGTTTTTTCATTTTTAATCCTGGTCCAATGAAACTTTGACAAAAACATTTCTGTTGTCGATGAATCCTTATTTATTGCACATTACCTTGCAACCAATACATCATTTCGTACTAAAATTGACAAATGATTTTTTCTAAAAAGAAAGATATAAACAAAGGAATAAACCGAAGAGGCGCTGTGGAGAATCAATCATGGTTGGGAATTCGCGATTTTCCTGAAACTTACATTTATGCTTCCGATAGATCTCAACTCTAACAATATTCATTTCTCCAATTTTTAAATCTTTCAAAAAATATCCAACGGGAAATCTCGACAGTACTTAATGCACACTTTTGCTCTTATCATCCCTCCCTTTTCTGTCACCGCTTTCCAACGATCATCGCATACAATGTTCAATTTAGAATCAAATCGAAAAATGGCACACCTTCTCATAATTATGCATGGAGAAAGCCTTTTAAAAAACAAATAAATTAATGCCAAAACAAACGAGAAAAATTTTGTCCGTCGAACGGAGAATTATTTTCCTTAACCAGTCCGTCCTTCATAGTTTCCTTTGAATGACCAAAAATCAACACTTTTTTTTTTTACCAATTATAACAACGTTTGTCTCTACCGGAAAGTGAAAAACATTTAAATCAAATTTTTCTCTGGAAAA